TTTTCCTGATCATTATTCATGGCAGCATTTACTCATGGGTTAGCTCCTCCCCTCACAGCAGAAAGGACAGGAAACAGAACTCTGAAACTGGTATAAATAGATCCTCCCCCTTCCTATCAGGCAGTCTTTGTAACTAGCTTCACAACTCCCATAGTATATGGGTGGGAACGTAATGCTGCCATGAATAAATTATCAGGAAAAGAAAATTACGGTAAGTATGAAGCAAATTTTCCTTTTTCCTGACCATTATTCATGGCAGCATTTACTCATGGGTAATACCCAAGCAGTATATATAGAGGGAGGGACAGAGTTCAAAAATAGCCAATAGTTATAAAAACATTATTGGGCTGCATAAACCTTAAAAGACTTTAAAAAAGCCAAACCAGTAATCAATAGGATATTGTTATAAATCTGTTCAGACAAGGTAATTTACCCTAGCGGCTACAAGGTCTGCAACCTCCTGGCATTCAAATGTCTGAAATATCCTGAAAAGGCCAGATAGGAATTAAGGCCATGACAGCCAAACCTAGAGAAGGAACAAGGCTAGACAAACTTTCGTAAGCAATAAGTAACCCATCTTGTGATGGATTAAAAAATAATGTTCTATTCTGATATAAATTTAAAACCAATGGATGACATCATCAAATCAGAACCTTGATAAAGGCTTGATAAAGGCTGCTTCTTCCAGATATCATACTGGCAGATAATATTGGATGAGAACAGTCACACCATGCTATTAAACATGGGGAGAATTACACTGAGAATCCTACTGAAGATACAGGAAACAAATCAATATTTTCCTGTCAGAAAGAGGCAGAGCACAATAATGACTATATATTGCAAAACCAGACTCCCAACAATACCTCACACTATGGATGAATTGATACAGCAATGATCAGTCACAGGAGAGGTATAAACCTAGGCAAAGGCAAGAGGAACCATATACAGATTAGATGAAGACAAAAAGAAATATCGGTATGAACCATAGAAATTGTGGCAACTACTAAAATTATAAGTAGGCCAACCACGTCAGTACCTACATTCAAATATAAACATATTGTAATTAATACAGATTATGCTAAACCGTATAGTCAAATTTATTTTTTAGAGACTGATGTGCAATATAATAGGAGATTTGGAATAGGCAGGATACTGATGAGAAGGTGGTAACCAGAGGCACATTATACATTGTGGCAACAGACACATAATAAGCAGGATATTAGGAGATATTCTGTTATCCTTAGGAGAACAAACAACCGCATACTTACTCTTACCTTATCTTCAGATAGTAAAGAAGTACTATGGCAGAGCCTATAGTGATAATAAATCAGTTTGTTTTATCTGCAGGATATCAACACCAATCCAAGCATATAATCCACGGGTATTACATCCATGCAATGTTAGGAGAGACCATAATTTATACAGCTCTAGGTACAGAGACCATGTAAAACATATTAGTCAAATGTTTGTCCTCAACAAGCTGCATTACATTACGGAGGATAAATCAACCACTTGAAGTCACACATTGGTTGCAAATTCCAGATATAAAGGACACCTAAAAGAATCCCAATGCATATCAGAACCAAGGTCCAAATGGAACGACATGTTCAGGGATTTCCTTTATTGTTCTGGTAGCATGTGAATTTTACCTGAGATAGTAACCTGGTAGAATGGTCTGGGGACTGGAAAGATCTTCCAATGTCAATTAAAATACTTGCAATACACAGCATCAAAGTTACCTGGAGTATATGTGCCTAAAAGAATACCTTTTATTACAGAAAGGAATTATAATGTTGCCCTTCACAACAGGGGCATCTGTCAGAATTTTCTGATCATTAACTCCTTAAGAACCAAAAGCATGCCACCCCTGACATACTAAACGGGATTGCCAAACTTTCAGGTCCCCAAGGTATAAGAGAGAATACTGAATATAAATTTCAGTACATTCTCCAAATTATAAAGATTGTGCTTTAAGGAAATGTACCCAGTTCTAAAGAATGTTCAACCAATTCCAGAGAATGGAGCTAAAACTGAATAAAAAGTATAAACCAGACCAGGAGTAGTGAGTTCTTCAGTGTAGAGGCTTGTAGAAAATACAATGATACTAAAATTATGACCAGGTGAAAGAAAAGGCCAATATGAACAGCTTTTCAATTCAGTTAAGTTAGATTTTAGAAAGAAAGGAAATATAACAGTGAAAACAGTCAGGTAATTGCTTCAGATACCTACTTATGAGATCAATAAATAGCCCAATGTGTGCTCCTGAAACCAGCATAAATCCTGTATAAATACATAGGTGTGCACACAAAAAAAGCATTAATTCTGTTGAACATTACCATGCTCCCTTTTGGAAATTCAGGTCTCCTTCTCCCCTAGGAAAGTTTTCTTAGCTTGGATATTACTCTGTCTTCAGGCTGTGGAATTCCAGCAGACTTTATCCAGCCAGGATATCCATTATTAGCACTCTTTTTCACAATGCCTCATTGCATTATCAGCACTCTTTTGCACAATGCCTCCTTGCATTATCAGCACTCTTTTGCACCAAGCATGAAAAAACTTACCTAAATGCTCACCACACAAACCTCCTAAATGTGACCTATTTGTTAGAAGGAAGCCTAATGCAAGCACCTGGGAGGGACTGAAAAAAACAGAGACCCAGGTGCCTATACTAGCTTTAATCTAAATTACTAATGCACTTACCTGAACAGTTGCAGGCCTGTGTTTCAGCGGCCAAATGACGATTTGAACAACTGACACCCTAAACTGTTTAAACTATAGGCTTCCATCTGTACCCCATTTTCCGTTCATCATCACCAGTGGGAGAAGGTGTAAACCAAACCCAAGTGGAATACATAGAATAGGTATACCCAGGTAGTCACCTTATGGAAGTGGTGTTTGCTGGGTCTTCAGGGATAAAGGCTTATCTTCGGCTGGGCCTTATGTATGCAGTGGACCGCTGTCAATACTTCTGAGAGAGAGATAGGTTAGACTCCTGATTGCTGAAGTAGGTACCCATGCTGGCGACTCTTACAGATGTGCTGTTTGCTGGGCCTTCAGGGATAAGAGGCTGAACCCTGGCCTGGCTTCATGTAGGCAGTATATCACATACATCCCCTGAGGGGGTACCCAAGCTGGCCTGTTGCTGGGTCTTCAGGGATAAGAGGCTGAACCCTGGCATGCAGTGCACCATTTTCATCCCCAGAGGGAGAGGTTGGGTCCGACCCCCGGTCACTAAAGGGGGTACCAAGGCTGGCTACCTTACAATAGTGCTTTGCTGGGTCTTCAGGGCTTAGAGGCTGAACCCTGGCAAGGCTACAAAATTATTGCCTGGCGAGCATAAAAGAAAATCTAGGCCTACATAAGCAGACTTCTTCCAAACTGCTGTGAAGGACAGGAAAAAAGACTGCCTGATGGGAAGGGGGAGGATCTATTTATACCAGTTTCAGAGTTCTGTTTCCTGTCCTTTCTGCTGTGAGGGGAGGAGCTAACCCATGAGTAAATGCTGCCATGAATAATGGTCAGGAAATATTGAGGACAAAAAGGGCTTTCTTTACATATCATTATTTATATAATCTCATGTAATTTAATTTTACAAAATTTAAAAAATATGATAAAAAATTGAAAAAAATACATGTTTTTTTACTTTTACTTGAAAAATCTTTTACTCATCTACAAAAGCAAACGAAAAAAACTGCTAAATAGATTCAAACTTTTTGTCCTGAGTCTAAAAATACCCAGTGTTTACATGCTTTTTTGCTTGTTTTTGCAAGTTATAGGGCTATAAGTACAAGTAGGATATTGCGGTTTCAAAACATACATTTTTAAAATGTATCAATAGTGACATTGTAACACTATTATCTGTCCTAAATCTCTGAATGTACATATTTTTTTTTTAAAGTAGACAACCCAGGGTATTCAATATGGGTATGTCCAGTCTTTTATAGTAGCCACTTAGTCACAAACACTGGCCAAAGATAGCGTTCATATTTGTTTGTGTGAAAAAAGTAAAAAACTAAATTGAACGCTAATTTTGTTTATGACTAAGTGGCTACTAAAAAAGACTGGACATACCCCATTTGCAATACCTTGGGTTGTCTTCTTTTGCAAATGGTATGCCATCATGGGGTTAATTCTCATTCCTGGGCTAGCATATGCTCTCAAAGGCAACGTAGCCAACCTGGCCATTTTCAATGTAAAAATATTTGACCCATATATTTGACCCTGTAACTTTCAAAAATGCAATAAAACCTGTACATGGGGGGTACTGTTATACTCGGGAGACTTTGCTGAACACAAATATTAGTGTTTCAAAACAGGAAAATGTATCACAACAATTATATAATCAGTAAAAGTGCTGTTTGTGTGTGAAAAATGCAAAAAAAGTCACTTTCACTGACAATATCATCGCTGTGATATGTTTTACTGTTTTGAATCACTAATATATGTGTTCAGTGAAGTCTCCCGAGTAAAACAGTACCCCCCATGTACAGGTTTTAGGGTGTCATAGAAAGTTACAGGGTAAAATACAGTGCTAGCAAATTAAATTCTCTGGACTTTCGGCCTGGTTTGGCAGGCAGGTCCCTTAAATTGCCATCAATAAAATTACTTAATTATGTAAAAATATTACATAAATATGCACGTGGAATTTAAATATATGTGCATATTTATATATTTAAAGTCTACGTGTATATTTATATAATTATTTCTTTAATTTTGTTTATGGACATATGTATATTTCGTATTATTTTTATTTATTTATTTATATATACATAGATATATATACAATTTCGTTCTAAGTGTATTTTGATATAAATATATATATATTAATATCAAAATACAGTTAGAATAAAATTTCATATAGATATATAATTTTTAAAAAAACAAATATTATTATTTTTACATTTTCTTTTTGACAATCTTTATTTTCATATTTAAAGGACCACTCTAGGCACCCAGACCACTTCAGCTTAATGAAGTGGTCTGGGTGCCAGGTCCCTCTAGGATTAACCCTTTTTTTTATAAACATAGCAGTTTCAGAGAAACTGCTATGTTTATACTGAGGGTTAATCCAGCCTCCAGAGCCTCTAGTGGCTGTCTCATTGACAGCCGCTAGAGGCGCTTGCGTGCTTCTCACTGTGAAAATCACAGTGAGAGCACGCAAGCGTGCATAGGAAAGCATTGTAAATGCTTTCCTATGCGACCAGCTGAATGCGCATTCAGCCGATGACGTCGCGAGCAAGGAGGAGAGGAGGAGTACAGCTCCCCGCCCGGCGCTGGAGAAAGGTAAGTGTTTAACCCCTTCCTCTCTCCAGAGCCCGGCGGCAGGGGGTCCCTTAGGGTGGGGGCACCCTCAGGGCACTATAGTGCCAGGAAAACGAGTCCTTTAAGTATTCGTACAAGGTACTGAGCTTAGTGGTTTCAGTTTGGTCAACAGTTTGGTCAACATGTCAAAGTAAAACGTTGGAACATACAACTTCCCAATTTTACATTTCTAAACATTTGTGGCTAACAGTGTTTAAATGCTATGCTATTTACACATTGTGCAGCTGGTCATTATTACTGGTACCAGAGCTTGCCATTCTCTCCTGCGCTGCAGGTTATAAAATATTATTTATTCTTTGCTAGTTTGCTATAGCCTGTAGTGTGAGACTGAGGAACACCGGGTTGGTTAGCTAGCTGTCTGCCCATATTCTGTTCGGCCTCAGTATGTGTTATTTCAATAGGGGGTTTCCCCCTGTTACTATTTGTTCCTCAGGGCCGGTAGGCGTCTGTTAAAGCTTCCCCTATTCTAACTTCTTTTGTCTTAGGGAAAGCCCCTGGTCCTGGAATAGGGGCGAGTTATTCCTCGTGTTCATGGCTGGCTGTTCATGCCCTCTGTCCCAAGTGTACCTTCTCTCACGTACATGTTCTGTCTGTATCTTCGATCTCTGTCATGTCGCTTGTGTGGGTGATAGGATCCGTTGTGCCTCCCTTCACTAGCCTGTGGGTGTCCCTTCACTAGCCTGTGGGTGTCCGCTTGATTATCTGTTTTGCGGTTCGGAAGCCCTTGGGCGTTCCCTCATCCCCTGTTCTCGTGCAGGTGCCAACGTCCATGTTCTGTCTGCTGGCGAGGGGTGAGGGGGGCCAGTGCTCGGGGAGTCCCGTCTTTGGCTTAGTATTGAGGTCCTGTCCACACGGGCCGACGTGTATGGGGGAGAAGAAAAGAAAGGAGAGAGAAGAGGGGAGGAAGAGGAGAAAAAAAAAGGAGGGGGGGACAAGGGGGAGGCTCGACTGAAGGTGGGGAGGGTCAGGGGGGTGTTATAGAAAGAGCGAGCCCTCACGTCCCCCCCGCCCCAGACCCGCCGCCCGCCCCCACGCTCCGTGTTTCTCCTCCGCCGTCTCATCCCTCTTTCGCTTCGGGGTGGTGCCCCCCGTCTCCTCCGCCTCTGGCTATACACGGGGATTGATAGTCTTATGTCCTGCTGTGTGATATTAAATCCATCAATGGGGTCCAAGTCTGTATGTATCTGTCTACTGTTCCCCTCAGGGATGCTGTGAAGGTCTCCATCCCGTGGATTTCCTCTACCTTGTCCATCCATTGTTGGATGGTGGGTGTCTGCACGGTCCGCCAGTTGTTTGGGATAAGTAGTTTGGCTGCGTTTAAGAGGTGTTTTGTGAGTGACTTTTTATATCTCGATATGGGCATCGCCGTGTGATGGAGGAGCATCTGGAGTGGTTGAAGTTGGAGATCGGTGTCTAGGATGTTCTTGATCTGGGCATGGACTTGGTTTCAGAACCGGACTATTTTTCTACATGACCACCATACATGAATGTCTAATCCTGTCTCTTCTCCACATCTCCAACAGGTGTTGGGTGTGTCCGGGTTCATTCTTTATATCCTCTCGGGCGTCCTGTACCACCTGGTCAGCAGCTTGTAATTCAGTTCCTGGTGTTTGGAGCTCATTGCCCTTTGGTGCGTCGGTATGTGGATTTTCATCCACTGTGGCTCCGTAAGTGAGACGCCGGTGGCTCCTTCCCATCTTGCCATATATCTTGCTGGTTCGGGTCGAGCTGCGGCTTGGAGTAGCGCGTAGATCATAGAGATGCCTCTGGCTATGTGCGTTCTGGCTTGGCAGATTTCCTCAAACTGTGTTAACGTCCTGTGGAACAGCACCTACCATTTTGGGACATGTAGTATGCTTTGATCTGGAGGTAACGAAGTCTTTCTATGCCCATCAGGGTTCTGTCCTGTATAAGTTCTGGTAGAGGTTTCAGCGCATCCCCTGTGCACCACTGTTGCATGTGTGGCTGATCCGACGTTCCAAACGTCCTGACATCCTGCGGTGTGAGTCCTCCTGCCACTTTGGGGTTGTAGGTGATTGGGGTTAGCGGTCCTGGCGTCATGGTTAAGGAGAGTTTGGTGCTGATGAGGGGCCAGATCTTATATATGTGGACTGGTGCGGAGAGGGCCCCATTGACCCGTATTCTAGCTGTTGGGATCGTGTATACTGAAGATATCCAGGTCCACCCGATCAAACGCTTTTTCTGCGTCGGTGGAGAGCAAAATGAGCTTCTGTGCCGTACTTCTGGCTGCGTGTATGACATTAAGGGTGCGGATTGTGTTGTCTCTCGCTTCCCTTCCTGGGATGAAACCCACTTGATCCGAGTCCACCAGTTCTGGGAGAACACTACCGACACGGTGGCCAGAACCTTTGTGAAGAGCTTTAGGTCAGCGTTTAGTGGCGATATCGGTCTATAGCTGGCGCAGTTGGTCGGGTCTTTACCTTCCTTGGGTAGAACTGCTCTCGTCGCCATAAGGGAGTCTCTTGGGAACACTCCCCCTTCCAGGAGGGAGTTTAAGTCTGTTAGTAGTTTGGGGAGCAGTACATCTCCAAATTCCTTTATGTATTTGATGGGCAGCCCGTCTGGGCCCGGAGCCTTACTAAGTTTAGAGCCCTTCAACGCCGACTGAAGTTCTTCTATCGAGATGGGAGCCTCTAGTTCCTCTGCCGTGTCTTGGCTCAGCGTTTTGGTGACGTGTTCTTGTAGGTATTACGTAATTCGTTGTTCTCTGCGTTGGATTGCATCAGGGGAGGTCTCGGTGGGCAGGTTGTATAGGGTATGGTAGTATTCCCGGAATAAGTTGGTAATTTTGTCTGGGAGTTGGGTTATCGTCTGTTCTTTAGTTTTACGTTTGGAGATGTGGCACATACGCCGCTTCCTTTGAAGCATCCGAGCCAGGAGGCGGCCGCATTTATTCGAGTATTCGTAGAAAAATCTGTGAGACTTTCGTATAGTATGTTGTAGTTTCTGGTGTAGTATATCGCGGAGAGTCTTCCTAGCTTCCAGCAGAGTCGTGTAGTCTTCGTCCCATTGCGTGGACTTATGAGCTGCCTCCAGGTCCGAGATCTGTCGGGTGAGCTCCTCCATACGCTGTCGTTGTTCCTTCTTATGTTGGGTACACATTTTGATGAGATGCCCTCGTACTACGCACTTATGTGCCTCCCATAGTGTTAGGGCCGGCATGTCCTGGCCCTCATTTTCGTTGAAGTACGCGTTCAGTGCCGAACGCTAGGACCGGTTCGTTCATCCTATAGTGGCGTTCCCTGGGTCAGTGCAGAGGGGATCCTATACTCATCAGTAAGGGGTAGTGGTCAGACCATCCAAGCGGTCTAATCTCGGTCGACACGAGCAGGGACAGGTACTCCTGAGCTATAAGGATATAGTCCAGTCTGCTGTATCGTTTGTGGACTGTGGAGTAGTAGGTACTCGCTCGGATGCAGTGCTCTCCAGCAGTCCACCAGGCCCGCCCCCCATAGGGTCTCATTGATGTTTTGCAGGCTATGTCGTGGAAAAGAGCTAACTCCCCTAGAGGTATCCACTCTCGGCTCTAGCGCTGCATTCAGGTCTCCCGCTATCAGCAGTAATCCCTGTCGGAACTGTTCAAGTTTATTCAGCGTCTTCTTATGGAATCTATGCTGTCGGGTGTTAGGGGCATATATGCTTGCTAGCGTGTATGTGTTACCTGCTATGGTGCCTTTAAGAAAGAGAAAGTGTCCCATGGCGTCGGCCAACTGTCCCGTGCATTCGAACGATACTGTGTTTGCTAGCAGCTAGCAACCCTGGATCTTTTGGCATTCTGGTGGTTTGCGAAGAAACCCTGGGGGTATCTCGAATATCTCAGCGGTGGGCTCGTGTCCCCCCGAAAATGGGTTTCCTGTAGGAATGCAATGGACACCCTCTCTGCCCAAAGGGTGCGCAGCAGGTGAAACCTCCGCTCAGGCGTGTTGAGGCCTCGTACATTGTTCGACCAGAGCCGGAGAGGCGCTGGAGCAAATCCCAAGCCCAATACTGGCGGCCGGGGAGGGTGGAGGTAGGGCGGCTGCTCCGGGGAGAGGGCTGGAGGCTTCGAGGCTCTGTTTTGGAGGACGGGCAGGGAGGACTCAGAGGGAGGTTGAAAGTCCCTAAATATAGGGTTTGAGTAGGATCCCACTTATGGGGTCCTCTGTGACTTGACACCTGTGGCGGAGGCGTTGTGCGGTATACTCTGTGGAGAGTTATCCACCCGCCGCCTCACCAGTTCAGTATATGCGTCCGTCAGGGGGTGCCGGACCCACACCGCACCTGCACAGGACCAGGCGCAGAGATTGTGTGGTCCACCTGTTTGTAGATCCCAGGTGGATTATATGGTCCCTAGTCAGAGTGTGTCTGTATCTCGGGAGTTTGTAAGTGAACTTTATGTTCCACGTCTCACCCCCCCAGGCCGGGGCGGCTATTGTGATACCGGAGGCAAAGGGAGTCCTGGTACTGTGTAGTAGTCTGTAGTGACAGTTTTAGTGTTTCGTCTATCGTTGGTCGAGAGGGCCGAGAGCTCTTTGGGGTGGTCAGCTATTCTCATCTGGGCCACTATCGGATGCCCCAGGAGAGGGTTCTACTTGCTTACCTTCTAATGTTAATTAATATTTATTTTTTTCGTTCTCCCCCCCTCCCCTCCTCTTTCCCCTTCTCCTTCTCCCTTTCCCTCCCTCTCAACCCCTCCGCCCCACCCCTCCTCCTTCCCCCCCTTATACGCCTACGGTGCTCGTGTGATCCCTCTGATGTGGGTTAAGACCCTAGCCCTGACTTCTCCGTTTCCTGCTCTACCCCTGGTTTGTGATTGGCTCCTTTCCTCTGCTTCCCTAGGAGTCGGGGCAAGTACCCATGTCATTGGTGAACACCGCACATCAATTCAACACAGTAACAATTTAGCATCCTTCCCTAACAAGTTAGTACCCATCTCCCAGTCCCGTGTTCCCCCCTCCCAAGATCTTAGGTCCCCCCCTTGTGGTGTCATCTAATATTGATATAGCCAGCTGAATCGCGGAAGGTGGTATGCTGACGGCTCTGTCCTTAATCGCCATTTCTTGTAGGCCTGTGAAGGGTTAGTTAGGTACAGTTTGGCTCAATGTCACCTATACGGGTGTGTTCCAGGGAGGTGGGCCTGTTCGTTCACCCCCAAGCCGGTCTTGTGCTGTGTGCCCATACCTTTTGCCTGTTCCCCTCCCCATCACACGGTGAGATCACTCCCCACTGTGGCAGCATCGTGTGTTCCTGGCCCTTGATTTTTCCCTTTGGGGGAATGCGCCTGTGACCATAAGGCTCAGGGGCAGTTAACTGCTCGTGGTTAATGTAGTGGGGGGAGCTTTGCGACTTGGACTGCCAGTGCCCTGGCCTCAGACTTTGCTCCCGTAGTCCCTATCCCTGTGCTCCCTTCCCCTCCTCCCACCCCAACTGTCCTGGTTAAGCCCGTTGTGCCCAGCTGTCCCCAGTATGAGAGTGCGTCCCGTATGTCCCCTGTGTATGGTAACTCACTGGTCACCCCTTGGTCCGACGTGGCTTTATGCAGAGCTATTCTTCCGGGCCATCTGGCCCTCCTCACCTGCGTAGCGGTGCACTCCCTCTGGCGGGGTGTCAGTGCCTCGCATTGGGGCCATAGGATCCAATTCCAGACCCAGATTGACAGTAGGTTGCGGGTTCTCAGGAGCCCGGGTATCTCTTCAGGCCAGCGCGCTGTCACCCATGGGTTACCGTGCTTAGCTTGTATGCTGAACGGAAACCCCCAGCGGTATGGGATCCTCCACTCTCTTAGGGTGCTGGTTACAGGGCGTAATGCTCGTCTGGCGTCTAGTGTCAAGCTAGAGAGGTCCTGAAACAGAGTCACCTCTGTGCCACGGAACAGGATGGAGGGCGTCCCTCTTGCGGCGGCCATGATTTTTTTCCCTTAGGCTGAAGAGGTGGAAACAGCAAATCACATCCCTGGGGTTGCTGTCTCGGCGGTCCCAGTGCTCTGTGTGCGCGTTCAAGCCTGATGTCCTCTGGAGCTTCTGCTCCTTAAATCTGCTTAAATAATTCAGCCAGCGTGGTCTGTATGGGATCTGTGTCCCCTTCAGGTAGGCCTCGTATGCGGATATTGTTACGTCGGCTTCTGTTTTCTAAATCCTCCACTTGCCTGCGGAGGGTAATCAACATGTTGCCCTGTATTGTCACTGCTACCTCCGTCGCCCTGTGCTGCTACTCACATTCTTGGGCCGCCGCCTCCACCTCCTCTACCCTCTGCTCCAGCATGGCCAGGTCGGAGCGCAGTCCCGACATTTCTTCTCTGAAGGCCGCGCGCAGCTCCTGAACCAGAGTGCCCTTGTCTGCTTTAGATAGCATTCGCTGGGATATCTGTGTGAGCTCTGTTCTTATTTGAGAAAGGGCCCCCACATAGTCACCTCCTGATAGGGAGTCTTCTGTACTCTCCGAACCCGGAGAGGCCGGCGCCATTTTGTCAGCAGCGAGGGAGCCTCTCAGCTCCACCGGTGTTGCGATGAAATCATCCATCAGGCCCGTATTCCGCCGTGGGGAGTTTGTTGGCTGCGTCCCCGGTACTGACAGTTTCTTGTTCCGGACCATTTTCCTCCGTGTATATTGCTAGATTTCTCAGCCTGGGGTGCGGAGCTCCTTTACCTTGCGTCATGCACCATGCTCGTCCAGGCCACGCCCCCTTAAATTTTTTTTATTTAATTTAAATTACTTATTATTTGTATTTTATAATATGTTTTAAGGCCATTTGGCCTGTATTTGTGGGAGGGGCTTAAATTAATTCACTCCCCTATATAAGGGACACCCCTTACCTGACTCATATCGCTTGAGGTCAGCATCAGAATGATTTCCACTTCCGGGTCATCCAGACGCCATTTTACCTGATTACTCCATGAGGTTTTCTAAGCTGAGCTGTGTCAGGAATTCAGCCACAGGCTTTTCCGGCCTTCCACCTTCTTTCTTCAATCTATCGCTGTGGATGGTATCCAAGTGACTCACAAACTGTAAGTCGACCTACCCGTTACGCCAGGCATCAGTCCCACGGCACCATGCATGGGTCAGGTCCTCACTTTACGGCTGCATTTGGTCTAAATCTGTTCTAAAACCATTGGATGTTCATGCATATCATTCGTTTAAACTCACTTGTTTATATCTGTCACTGGCTTATTTCGAGCATTAGCATACTCCCAAACGGGAACACATTCTGTTTCAATTGCCTAAACATACTAGGCAATTCTGTGCGTGCATTTCAAATCTCACTGCTCGTTTCGTTTTGTTTCCCTGACATACCAGGCTCACGGTTCGTGCAATTTTCTACCAAATGGGTACTAGTTCATGCATTTACTATTGTACTACACACACGTTTCGTGTGTTTACAACCCATGAACAGAACTTTGGTTTGTTACAATGACTGTTATTAAGCTATTATGTTCACTTATTGTATATTGTCAAACGGGCACTGTTTGTTTCACAACTATAATGCTGGGGCATAGCTCACAAACAATGTTTCACATAAACCACACTGACCCCTACAGGTCACTCTCAAAATCTCATGTTAACCTTGCATTTGGATTAACCCCTTAAGGACCAAACTCTGGAATAAATGATATGTCACACATGTCATGTATCCTTCAGGGGTTAAAGGGTATTTTACCATACAATCAGCATTTCTGACCCCTACTGGTCAACAGCAAAACTGTCTTCACATGTCATATACAATTACCAGCCAATATAAATTACACATAAGATTGTTTTAAACATAACCATAAACCATAAATTAAACTCCAACACGGGCTCAACTTCAGGTTTAATTCACAATAATTTACATTTCACATTAAGACTAACAGTGGTTCTATCAACACTGCCACCTACAGGTCTGTCAAGTACATTGACAATTTTCATGGGGTTTTACAAACACCAAAACACTGACCCCTATAGGTCAACAGACAAACAACATTTCACATACCAATCAGTATCAACTACACTGCCACCTATAGGGCACTCGGCAGATCTCCAGTGCACTTGCATTTTGCAACTCCATGTTCACTTGCCATTCAATAAGGCATACAACAATTCACATAGCAAGCAGTATATCAATATCTGTTATAAATATACATATTATTACACAGTAGCACACGCATCTGTATATACGTAACTGGTAATATGGTTCACATACATACGGCACTTAATCGCTTAAGATTGATACATATTTAACCAGTATGGATATGATGTTTAATATTTACATATCACAGCACTTTACTTTCACATATACTGTATGTTTTAAGATAAACTTGGTCTATGCCATATTTCCTTATGCCATACGGTTTTATCCATTCAGGTTACAGTTACTACTAAAAAACCTATACGGATTGTCAGGTTCAATACCATACTACCAGGTACGTACACCTGCTCACATAGTTATCCATCTCTTACCTTCCCTGGAATAGTAATAGTGTACCGGCAATTAGGGTTCTAGGGCCCAATAGGTATTACCCCCTTTTTTCTCTGCATTATGCTTCGGTTAGTGGTCCCGCGAGGCCAACACCCCGCCTCACACTCGGAGGCATACACCCCTCGGGCCACTCGTGAGCTAGCCGCCTCGCATTGTATCATAGAGAGGGCCTCACCTGTCACTCCCCTTCCTATTTTTCTGGTTATTGTCACCGAGAGGCTAACATCCTGCCACAACGTTCGGTGGCCACACAAAATCCCCTCGTGCCAAGCATAGATAGAGCCTCTCAAGCCACTTGGCAACTAGCAGGGCCTCACCAGTCACCAAAAAAAACACCAAGCCTAATCGTTTCGCCTTACGGCTTAGCTAGCAAGCCGGTACAAGACCCCTGGGTACACATATATAATTGCAATCTTTATTGTTATTTAAGTATTTCTCAAAAAGATGGTAAAGAATCACCTCTTCCTAGCACCACGGCTAGAAGTGATACACCTTCATCTCTTACCTTCCCTGGAATAGTAGTAATGTACTGGCAATTAGGGTTCTATGGCCCAATAGGTATTACCCCCTGTTTCTCTGCTTTACGCTTCGGTTAGTGGTCCCGCGAGGCCAACACCCCGCCTCACACTCGGAGGCATACACCCCTCGGGCCACTCGTGAGCTAGCCGCCTCGCATTGTATCATAGAGAGGGCCTCACCTGTCACTCCCCTTCCTATTTTCTGGTTACTGTCACCGAGAGGCCAACATCCTGCCACAACGTTCGGTGGCCACAAAAAAATCCCCTCGCGCCAAGCATAGATAGAGCCTCTCAAGCCACTTGGCAACTAGCAGGGCCTCACCAGTCACCAAAAAACACCAAGCCTAATCGTTTCGCCTTACGGCTTAGCTAGCAAGCCAGTACAAGACCCCTGGGTACAAATAATAATTGCAATCTTTATTGTTATTTAAGTATTTCTCAAAAAGATGGTGAAGAATCACCTCTTCCTGGCACCCGGCTAGAAGTGATACACCTTCAAGCAGAGGAGATGTGGCTCCGACCTAAGGAGGCGACAAATCCCCTACCCTGCCACAGCAAGGAAAGCAGAGTTATTCAAACTCCTCCATACATCAACGGACAACACGGAGGCAGGGGAAGGCCCAGCAACACCAACTCAGGTGATACCCAGGCCATGCTAGCCTCACTCAAACTCATGAGCCAAAAATTTTTACGACAGACTGGCAATTTCGAGTCAGTCACAGCCCTCACAAGGCTGGGCCTCACGCTACTGTACAACCAGCACCAACCGAAACTCGGTTACTTGGTACAAGACGTTAACCCTGCACAAATGATACCGGCACATTGGGGAAACAAGGCATATATATGTATGATGATGTATCTATGATGGTCAGATCCAGGGATTCTAAGTAAATCGGGAACTGACCATCCCTTGGTTGTGTTGGCATTTGGAATATGTAGAGATGCTTATTTGTGCAGGTACCCATACAGAAGGGATTTTCTCCCAAACAAACGGGCGAGCACTCTCAGGCTCCAGGTACCAGCACCTCTGAACTACCAGAGACAATTGGTATTAGTAGTTGCATTGCATATAGACTGTTGCATATATGTTCAAATCATTCAGGGCACATGACAAACCATGTGTCCCAATACAACTTACAAATAACGTACTCACCATCTGTACACACCAATGCATTTTCAACACTACTGACTCATCATCCTTCCAGACTTGTAGTAGAGTTACTAAGGCTCTGGAGCTTCAAAGGGGTCCCATACAGGTATCATAAATAAACTCTCAAGGAATATAGCATGCCCTCACTTACAGTCAGCACAACAGAACCGTCGGCTGTAAACACACTCATAGCCAAGATTTGCAGAGGGGTTTTTACTTGGGTTTTCCAATCTCCACCATTTACAGCATGGCACCAAACACAAACGCATTGGTATTGTCACAAGGGAATCTTCCCTTAAACAAAGACTAACCATAGACTTATTGGCACCACACACCTTCGCTACCCCAAGTCTCAACTCCCTCATACCCTCCGAGGAGTTTCCTTACTATACACACCATTGATCTACCTTTACAGCTATCACTCAAGCAGGAGTTGAAGCTTCGTTAAGTAAGACCAATATCATCAACACAGTAAACGGCTACCATCTACCCTACAAACTGGCACTTACATGGCATAAAATGGGCAATCCTTTCCCCGCTAAAAGCAGCTGCTGTGGCATGGGGTAAATCATGGTCAGGGTCATCAATCCGTTGTTACTCAGACAACTAAGCACATGTCATATCATCAACAAATGCCACTCATCATCCATACGATCATGGTATTGCGGGGGAACTCACTTGGTTGGCCACTTTTCTTTTACTTTCATGTACCAGGCGGTGGTATACATCCTTGCCGACAATTGTCTCATTTATATTCCAGGCATGTTCATCATACGCTTCCTACAGCCGCCCATACAGTCACGGCCACTCTTTCGTTCCAGAGACAAAATCATGGATTAGACATACTCATGCAGCATAGCATGCACTATCCCACCTAGCACTTTCATCCCATACTTGTAGAACGCACCTATTCACCTCGCTTTAAAGAATCTCATTGGAACACGACATAGCTCAACCTGTGGAATAACATTTCTCCTAGGTTTTGCTTCATTTTTTGCCACCTTAAACTAAAACCATCTCACACACCATTAATTATATATTTTACAGGCATTCAACAACACAGGATAACCTATGGCCAAAACTACCATAACTTCATGCTATCATACCAGACAAGAATATACTATACCATCCCCCCACGTTCCACTCAGAGATTACCAATAGCCTTCCAACTTTTCCATCCTTATCGGACTTATTAGAGCTACAACCTTTCAATTATACTACCAAGTTGGCCATTACCAGCCATGCACACTGCCTTTTATGCCTTTCTCAGGCCAGAGAATCCACTACCATAATCACCACTCAGACAGATCATTGTCTTAAACGATCCCACGTATGTAAACACATATATCATTACCTATTGGCTCTACCACATTCCGAAACGATGCAACACGCACCAACAGTAGAGATAACATACTATCCTACCCACAACAAATGGTGTCCAGTTGCGGTCCTAGATTCCTACCTTCAAAAATCCTTCAAGGAATTAAATACCGTAATGCATTTAAGGAAATGTCTGGTTAATTTGTATATATTGTTGACTGTATTAAATCTTTGATTATTCTTTTTGCCCTCTTTATTTACAGGCCTACCGTATCGTCGGTCTCGGCACACCACAACCGACTTGCTCCCTTTATACTATCCTACGCTTATGCTGGAACCTTACTCCATATACGGCTATTTGCCCCGAACACAAGTTTTAAGGCCGTTTGGCCTGTATTTGTGGGAGGGGCTTAAATTAATTCACTCCCTATATAAGGGACACCCCTTACCTGACTCATATCGCTTGAGGTCAGCATCAGAATGACCCTCCCACCCACTCCTCATTTCAACACTTTCTCTTTTCTTTCCATTTACTTACTCTCTTGGTGGGCCCTCTTTATTTACAGGCCTACCGTATCGTCGGTCTCGGCACACCACAACCGACTTGCTCCCTTTATACTATCCTACGCTTATGCTGGAACCTTACTCCATATACGGCTATTTGCCCCGAACACAAATATATATATATACACAATATATATAGTTATTATATATATAATATATATATATATATATATATATATATATATATGATATATAGACATGTGTCTCCCTGCTAGTGTAAAGGGCTAGTGTATTTTACACTAGCAGGGAGACACCTATATGGACACCTATTGTGACCATGTGATCGCTCTGTTAAGCGATCACATGGTCCCAGGGGTCCTAATCCGCCATGGGGAGACTGTCTTGGCTGCACACCGGGAGTCTCCCCACACCGGGAGCACCGCTGATCGCCGCCACGGGAACAACGGTGATCGGGTAAGTACATAAGACAGTTGTGATGGTTCAGGACCGTCAGCGGTCGGCAACGTTAAAATGCCGCCGACGGTCCAGAACCGTCCTCGGTCGTTAAGGGGTTAATCCTTACCACACCAATAGATCTGACTTATTTTTATTGTAGGAAAAACTGCAGGGGATGCAGACTAGTAAAGCAAGGATTAAAAAATTGTAGGAATCAGTTCCAACTTTTCATTTCCTGGCTAATCATGGCAGCATTTAACATATGGGTTTAGCTCCTCCCTCCAACCCTCAGGACAGGAAACACAATCAATTAAACAATTAAGCCTACCTTCCCCTAGTATATTAGGTACCCCAGTATCCCCCACACCTCAGTCTTTTCCTGTCCTCCTAGCCCTAGGACAGTTTATATATTTTTTTTTTTCTTTATTCAGTTTCTTCTGAATGATTTTTTATTTTTTGCTCACCTGACCATGTTTGATATGGTCTTGTCCCTTTGGAGGTCAGCCTCCCTCCTCAGGAAGCCCAGGCACATGTAGCCCAGTCTCCATGGAGTTGGGAACCCCTGGGAGCCTGGGTGGTTAGTTCCACAGGCTATGGGAATCCTCTGCCGTCCAGTGTGTGCTGCAGACCTCGATCAGACGATCAGCATAACGGTAAGACGCCCGCGCATGCGCAATGCATCCGACCGGACCCAGAGTGAAGTTTGCCCCTTTCCAAAATGGCGGTTTAGCGATCTCGCGACCGAAGTGCGCATGCGCGATCATTTAAAGGTACAGAGCGGGAAATTTGAAATGGCGGTATTTAGCTTAAAAAAACGCTCGTTTCCGTTCCCTTTAAAGATACAGTGCTCTAGTAGACTGTTCTTAAAGCTCTGCAGGTAAGAGAATTACTTATATTTTAAAATCATCATAATATTGGGCTGGGAATACTTTTCTTATTATTTTAACATTCTTAGCCCTACAGTCAGTATGGATCCTTCATCCCCTTCTGCAAGATCAACGAGATCTGCTATAGGTCATAGGTGAGCAATATTTTTTCTTGGTTTCTTCACGTTACTAAAAAGAGTGCACAGAGGGTACAGTCTTATGACTTCTGTATCTTACAGCCCTCGTGACCGGTCCTGTCCCAGATCCCCATCGAGGAGAAGGGAGAAGCCGGCAGCCTGCCCTGGATGTGGAGCAAGGCCTTTGGATAACTGCAGGCTCTGCAGAAAATGCTTAAACATGGCCGCAGGAGAATCTGATCGCCAGAGGTCACCGCAAGCCTCTACCTCCTCAGCCAAGGATATTGCTTATTGGATTAAGCAGGCAGTGGTTGAAGGAATTGCTGAATCCCACAAGATTAAGAGATCAAGAGGGGAAAACTTCGGCATGGATTCAGATGTCTGACGATGAATACAGACAAACTTCATCTTACCTGGATTTGGAGCCAATCTCGTCCAGTGAAGAGGAGTATATGGAACAACCTTGCTCCTTGGACTCCAAAGCTATGGAGCATTTGATTATGGCTGTTAGAAGAACATTGGATTTGCCGGAAGAAACCAGAGAATGTTCAGCTTCTGACAGACACTTTGGAGATTTACATAAGAAAAGACCTTCCTTTCCAGTCCACAGCTCTATTAAAGACCTGATGAGGAACGAGTGGCAAATTCCTAGTAAGAGGATTACTAGTCAGGGTCGGCTTTCGAAGTTATATCCGATTAAAGAGGAGGATTCCAGATTGTGGACTACGGTCCCCAAAGTTGATGCTCCTATCATTAAGGTTGCTAAAAGATCCACGCTACCAATTGATAGCAATGCTTCCCTTAAGGAGCCCATGGATAAAAGGATTGATGCTGATTTATCTAAAGCTTTCATGACAGCGGGTTTAGGTTGCCATCCAGCTGTGTCCATTTCGGCTTTGTCTAGAGCCATGCGTTCCTGGTTGCTTGACTTGGAGGATGACATAGATAAAGGGGTCAGTAGACGTCAGATGGCGGAATCCTTAAGGGATATCAAACTCGCCAGTGACTGGCTTTTGGAATCCTCCACTGACCTCATTAGAATTCTTTCTAAGGTTATGGCACATTCAGTCACCGCTAGAAGGGCGCTTTGGCTGAGATCCTGGGGAGCAGACCTGTCATCCAAGAATAATTTATGCTCACTTCCCTTTATGGGAGAAGTGCTTTTTGGGAAACCTCTGGATGAAGCGATTAAAAAGGCGGCCGAGGTTAAACAGGTCATGCTGCCACAAGATAGGCGTCCAAAGAGACCTCGTCTGGACCGTAGACCTTTTAGGGATCAAGGCTACTTTAGGGAAAGTAAGACTTACAGGCCAGGTAGAGAATTCTCAAGGAATTCCAATTGGAAGAGCGGCCTGAATGGGAAATCCTCTAGGGGCAAGACGCAGACCTCTTCCTTTCGCCCCAACAAGCAATTCTGAAGGTGGCTTACTCCAGGTTCCTCGAGTGGGAGCACGTCTTTCATTCTTTCAGAGGGCCTGGGAAATAATTCCAGATGCTTGGGTAAGATCCATTATCACCGGAGGTTATCATCTGGAATTCGACGAATATCCACCTCCACCAAGGTTTATTCGCACAAGGCTTCCAGCCAACATCCAAAAAAGAGAGGTTTTGACTCTTTATGTCAACAATCTTCTTATGGAAGAAGCCATCATACCTGTACCCATAAAAGAAAGATTCCAGGGATATTATTCCCCCCTGTTCTTGGTCAAGAAGCCAGAGGGAAAATGGAGGCCTATTTTAGATCTCCACCAGCTCAACCTTTATCTGAGAGTCAGAAAATTTCGGATGGAATCCATTCGCTCCATCATTCCGGTTGTTCATCACCAAGATTGGATGATATCAGTAGACCTCAGGGATGCATATTTTCATGTCCCTATCACGTTCACCCATCAAAGGTTTCTCAGGTTTTGTGTCCGGAAGGAACACTTTCAATTTCAGGCCCTTCCTTTTGGTATAAGTACGGCCCCGAGGACCTTCTCGAAGGTTCTGGTCACCATCATTGCTTTGCTCAGAAAAGAAGGTGTAGCGGTGTTTCACTACCTGGACGACATCCTGGTAGTGGCTCCGGACCTAGCATCAATATTCCAACACAGGCAATTAGTCCTCGACACTCTATCTCATTTCGGTTGGCTCATCAATTACGAGAAGAGTCACTTGCATCCTTCAAGAGAACTGATATTCCTGGGAGCAAATTTCAATACAGACACAGCGATTGTATCCCTCTCACACGACAGAAAGATCAGACTTCAAGATCGGATAAGGGACTTCAGACTAAAGACTTCAGCCTCGGCAAGAGAGTTTATGAGACTTCTGGGGACTCTTTCCTCTACGATAGGACTTGTCAGATGGGCTCAGTGGAACCTTCGCCCTCTTCAACAATTTTTCCTAAAAAATTTCAGGACCGACTCGAGGGAGTGGGAGACGCTGATTCGCATTCCTTTGATTCTGAAGCAGAAGCTCCTTTGGTGGATGTCGTGGGAAAATCTCTCCAGAGGGTTCCCCTTGCGGGAAATAGATTGGGTGGTCATTACGACAGATGCCAGTCTGACAGGTTGGGGGGCACATTTAGGCAATCAATTTTTTCAAGCAAATTGGCCTCCAAGAACTCAATGCTTGCCTTCCAACATCAGGGAGCTAAGAGCAACCTTTCTGGCGCTTCTTCATTTTCAGCATCTCATCAGGCATTGCTGGGTCAAGTTGAGAGTGGACAACAAAGCGGCTGCTGCCTACATAAACCATCAAGGCGGAACAAGGAGTGTAGCCCTGATGAGAGAGATAGTTCCCATTATGACCTGGGCTCAGAATCATGTGGAAGGCCTGTGTGCCATCTATCTCCCAGGGAAGGAGAATGTAATAGCGGATTTCCTCAGCAGACATCGGATAGAGGCTTCAGAATGGCAACTTTCCAGGAGGATCTTCGCTCGGTTGGTCCAGAAGTGGGGTCTTCCCCAAGTAGACCTCATGGCGACCTTTCGGAATGCGCAGGTTCCATGCTTTGTGTCAAGGAGATACCATCCAAAGGCGGTTGCTCAGGATGCTCTATCCATCAATTGGGTATTCGATCTGGCTTACGTTTTTCCTCCAATTCCCCTCATCCACGCTGTTCTGAGAAAGATCTCCAAGGAACATTGCAAGGTGATAGCTGTACTTCCATTCTGGCCTCGTCGCCCTTGGTTTCCCCTGTTACAGAGGTTATCAGTGGACCTGCCTTAGGAACTTCCAGTCTCAGAAGACCTGCTGATTCAGGGTCCAGTGTTTCATCCGGAGCCTCACAAATTCAGGCTCCATGCATGGCTATTGAGAGGAAGTCTCTAGTTGAACATGGCCTTTCGGACCAGGTTATCTCTACCCTGTTACGTTCCAGGAATCCTTCTACTTCTTCTACTTACCATAAGGTATGGGAAGCCTTTGCTCGATGGTGTAATTCCACGGTTCAAGAATTAGGTTCCCCTTCCGTGTCTCAGGTTTTGGGTTTCCTGCAAGCAGGCCTGGAGAGGGGCCTTCAACTTAACACGCTTAAAGTGCACTGCTCTGCTCTTTCAGCTCTTTCCGGTGTTCGTTGGGCATTGAATCCTATTGTAATTCGCTTCTTCAAAGCAGTCATTAGGATCAGACCTCCTATCAAGGTTTTCTCTGCTCCTTGGAATTTGCCTCTGGTTCTGCAGGCCTTGACGGAACATCCCTTCGAACCTATTGATGAGGTCTCTATGCAGGTTCTTTCTCTCAAGACCCTGTTGTTACTGGCCTTGGTATCTGCTAGGAGAATGTCAGATATTAGAGCACTGTCGTCTGAAGAACCGTTCACTACCTTCTTCGATGATAGAGTTGTGCTACGGCCTAGACCTGAGTTCCTTCCTAAGGTGGTTACATCCTTTCATCTGAATCAAGAGATTGTCCTGCCAGGGTATTTTCAGGAGCCATCGTCTCCTGAGGAAGAAAGATGTCATACGCTAGACCTAAGGAGGTGTCTTTCCACATATATTTCACGCTCAGCTGATTGGAGGAAGTCTACCCAATTGTTTGTGATACCTTGGGGTTCTCGTAAAGGTGAAGCTGCCTCTGTCGCAACCCTTCGTTCTTGGACGGTTCAGGCTATTTCTAAAGCTTACAGAGCTAAACAGGTTCCAGTTCCCAAGGACATCAAGGCACATTCCACAAGGTCCATTGCTACTTCATGGGCTGCAGAGTCAGGAGTTCCTGCAGAGAGCATCTGTAAAGCTGCCAATTGGTCATCTTTAAAAACCTTTGTACACCACTACAGAGTGGATATCTTCATCTCGTTCTGATTCAGAGTTTGGCCTATCGGTCCTGAACTCTTATAAGCCTTAAGTGGATATTAAACAGTTTTTGTAGCATGACTTACCCTCCCTGAGTGGTTATTGCTTTGGTAATCCCATATGTTAAATGCTGCCATGATTAGCCAGGAATAGAGAAAATTTATTGATACTTACCGTAATTTTCTTTTCCTGGCTATTATTCATGGCAGCATTTGGTCTCCCACCCTCTCTTGGTTTATTTGTCTTGTTACTAGACTGAGGTGTGGGGGATACTGGGGTACCTAATATACTAGGGGAAGGTAGGCTTAATTGTTTAATTGATTGTGTTTCCTGTCCTGAGGGTTGGAGGGAGGAGCTAAACCCATATGTTAAATGCTGCCATGAATAATAGCCAGGAAAAGAAAATTACGGTAAGTATCAATAAATTTTCTCTAATCTTTGCAACTCCACAGGCAGGGCCGGTGCAAGGATTTTTGCCGCCCTAGGCAAAAGTAAAGTAGAACAGGCTCTCTGGAGGCTGTTTGTAACTGTGGTCACAAAAATCAATGTTCTGGGAGAATGGGAAGCAGCTCCATTATTTGGGGGCCCTTTACACAGCTCAAGGTCTGGGTCCCAGGGTCCACCTTCATGTTCCACCAATGAGTTTGTTCACGGGGGTGGAGTGTGTAGGGGATGTCCTGATATGTGTGTAAGGAATGCATTGTGTGAATCTGTGTTTGTATGTGTAAGGGCTGCAAGGTATGTTTCTGTGTATGTAGGGGATGCAGTGTGTGCGTCTGTAAGGGGTGCATTGAGTGTGTGTGTAAGGGGTGCATTAAGTGTGTGTAAGGAATGCATTGTGTGTTTCTGTGTGTGTAAGGAATGCATTGTGTGTTTCTGTGTGTGTAAGGGATGCATTGTGTGTAAGGGTTGCATTGCTTGTGTGTGTCTGTGTGTGTAATGCATCGTGTGTGTAATGCATTGTGTGTTTTTCTGTGTGCAAGGGGTGCATTGTCTTTGTGTGTAAGGGGTGCATTGTGTGTGATTGTGTGTGTGTGTGTGTGATGGATGTCAATCTCTCCCCCTCCCTTGTCACCTTCTCTCTCCCTCCCTTGTCACTCTCTTCTCCCCCCTTGTCCCTCTCTTCTCCCCTCCTCCCATGTCACTCTCTTCTGCCCCCTCCCTTGTCACTCTCTTCTCCCCACTTGTCACTCTCTTCTTCCCCCTTTGTCACTCTCTTTCCCCTTCCCCTCCACACTCTCATTCCCCCTCTCTCCCTGTCAATTCCCCTCCCTGTCAATTTCTTTCTCCCCCCCCTCCCTGTCAATTTCTTTCTCCCATCCTCTGTCAATTTCTTTCTCCCCCATCAATTTCCTCCCCCCCGTCAATTTCTTTCTCCCCCCTCCCCTACATCTGTTATAGCATGGCCGAGCCCTGTATGGTCCACGGGTACCGGGAGCTTTTGTTTCCTGTACCCGTCCGGACTAAAAGGAAGGGCACACTCAGTGTTAGTTCGGCCAGGTACAGGAAACAAAAGCTCCCTGTACCCGCGGACCATACAGGGCCCGGCCACGCTACAGTGAGGGAGTGACAGGAGGGACCACTGAGCGCTTCACTCCTGTCAGCCCCTCTCCTCATGCTGCGCCCGGGCGGTGCGCCCTCATGGACGCACCAGCCCGGGCAATGCTGCAGCCGCCTGAGGCTCTCTGCAGAGTGCTCAGGTGCTGCAGCATGAGGGGGGCCGGCGCTCCTGGCGGCCCTCCCAAGGGGCGCCCTAGGCGGCTGCCTAGTCCGCCTAACAGGTAGTGCCGGCCCTGAGTATAAATGAACTTTAGGGCCTAGGCTTCCTCAGGTACTATCATCTCCAAATCTCTCAGGGTTCTTCTTCTTTTTTTCTTTATTGGCTATTGCCAGCTGGCACATTGTGGTATAGTGTCCGTAGATGGATCATGCCTGTCCAGTCCTCCACTTCCACTACCAGGAGAGCCAGGGCCTACTGGAAAACTGGGACGTCCGCTGGGAGTATGATAATGGTTTGCTACTATTAGTGAAAAGGGAAACCCCCAGTGATATTTCAAACCATGCTCTTTTAGAGCCGCTGGCTTGTACGATAAATGGCAAGAGGTCTTGGAAAATCAGCAACTGGTCTCCTTCATATATTTTGCGTAGCTCGGCCATCCATAATATCTCCTCGTTAGGGGAGAAATAGTGCACTCTACAGATTGTCCATGGGTTCCTCCTGTTGCAGGCCTCTAGGCAATAAAGCCCTATGGGCTCGATCCAATTTTATCAGGGAGTCACTTGATCTCTCCATAAGCTTGTTGAGCAATGCTTTCAAGAAGAAAGCAACATCTTCATTACTGCTGTTAGCTAGTTAAGCAATCCTGTGCATCTGTAAATTATTTATATGCCTGTGGTTGTCAATGTTCTGTTGCAGAGAGGAGAGTATAGACGAATAGTATTGCATTTGGTTCTGCAGGGCCATATTTTGGGTGTCAGTGGCCTACCTGTCATCTTTCAGCTATAAGGGGTCTGGTCTGTAAGGGTGCTGACCAGTGCAGCAACCTCTATAGGGTGGAACCCAGAATGCAAAGAAACAAATATACACACAAATCAAGGCAAAATATAAATGTATTGATATTTACAAGGAAGGCAGTTAAAATACTAACACAGATAACTGAATGTAGGAGAAGGGCCTCTGGATGCAGAGACTGCAGGAAAGGCCTCTAGATACAGGGAACGCAGGAAAGGCCTCTAGATACAGGGAATGCAGGAAAGCCTGTAGATACAGGGAATGCAGGCATGGCCTCTAGATACAGGAAAGAAGCCAGCTAGGGAACATTGGGAATCAGTCAGCTTGCACTGGAACACTGGATAGATAGGCAGGCAGCTAGCATGGGAATTCAGGACAAAAGGATCAGACCAACAACATTAACATTAATGAACTGGCAAACAAGAAGGGGTGAGGCTCAACTACATAGGAAGAAGATAATTGCCAGCTGAGAACAGAGAGAGATCTCATTCTGGGTGTACCAGCCTGCAATAGAATTACAGATAGGTAGTGGCACTCTGAGGTACTGCACTAGACTGAGAATAAACCGAATTGTGACATCAGCATTTGGACACATGTCTACAGTTGTTGGATGTTATTGCTGATGGTGAGTTTTGCCTCCATCATACCGGCCAAATCTAACTTGAAAGGTTATTGTAAGTGTAAGGCCTTAAGGTCTGCTTTCTCGATAGGGTTCTAAGGCTGCCCGTACATCATTAGGGATTTTATGTGGCTGGGAGTCAGGCGCCAGTTTGGTCGACCCCTGAGGGAATGTTGGTGTCCTTGAAAAACTTCCTCAGCAAGGACTTCTGAGCTGCAGAAGAGGTGGACAGGGTGCTTCCCATGAGATATCTAGCCTACTTGCTCACCATTAATCTGTTTAGCTACCCAGTGTATCGCTTTGCCCGGTTTGTCATGGAAGGCAGGATCATGCTAGCAAGCTTTCTGTCTGTCAAGCCACGCACGACCCCTCGCTGCTTCCATTTTTAACGCCTCACTCACTGGCAATGAGTGAAAGGTTAAAAATTACATCGGTTCACCAGAATTTATTTTGAAACACAAATATGCAAATTAAATTTGGAAAATGCCATAATTAGCATGAAGATTCCCTGTTTCCCTTTGTGATATTGACCTTTTTGAACACAGTGTGCATAGTTGTCACTATAAATGGGCATATTCTCTCATGTACAGACATATTCGGCTATCAAACAACACTTAATCAATGGGAACTGGACTGGCACATTTAAAAGACAACAGAAGCACAGGGGTAATGCAATAGAGGATGCAGGCTGTATAGATGTGACCAGGGCAACAGTTAATAAGGCCCCATTGCAACACTGTAAATTCCATAGAAAGT